AACAATTTTTGTTATAATTTTTTTATTGGTACGTGTACCTTTTTTCATTTTTTAGACGAAAATATTAATTTGAATGAGCAGCCGTGGCGCAGCGATAGCGCACTTTCCTTAGGAACAAAGGATCCGTGGTTCAAATCCGACCTCTGGGAAAGTCTTGCAACATTGGTTAGGAAGGAGGCGTGAACTTCCAATTAAATGCTCATCCACGGTGCTCTGTGATAAGACCGTAAGGACTCCTAAAAAAATTTAAAATAAAAAATTTTGCTATTTAAGCGCAGTTTGACTTGGCACATGCATAGCATACTTTCTAAACTACTGTCAAAATGCTAAAAAAAACGTGCAAAACCAAAAACAAAAAAATATGTCTCTGTTGACATTTTTTTATTAACTTTTGAAACCTTCATAAATACAATACACTTTTAAAATTAAGTGAAAAAATTTAAAACATATTTTGTTTTAAATTTTTTAAGGATCTTGAAAAGAGGTTGTAAGGATCTTTAAGGATCTTGAAAAGCAGTTTTAAGGATCTTGAAAAGAGGTTGACAAATACTAAGAGGAAATGTATTTCTATTGGTGGGATGATTTCCAAAATCAGAACATTGTCAAGCCCACTAATGATTGTCTTTTTAATGGCATTGCCAAATAGGTTTACGATAGCAACAACCCCACCAGATTGCTGAAGAGACTCGAGGCTAAATCTGATTAATCCCAATGCTTGCAAGTTTACATATTCGGCAAAACACTTTGATTTGATGTCACACTATGCGCAAGGGTGCAGACTTGAATAAATTTGTAGACCGCAAATTATATTTATATTTGTCTCTTAACTTCAATGTCTTGTGAGTCCTTTGAGTGAGAACTTGTTGTTATGGCGGTGAGTTGGTTTTATCCATTAACGCAGTTTTGACAATGCTTAGACAAAACTTAAGAAAACCTTTGCTACCCTGAATTCCTAGCCCTAACTTAACAAAATAGCTATCAGACACCTTGCGAGATTAAATAACATGTTTTACCAGATTAAATAAATCAATGTGATAAGCAGCAACCCAAACTGTACCAGAATCTCTTTTTCCGTAAGTGATTTTTAAGTCATTGCACTGAAGAAATCATTCTAATCTTGACTTGCTCTTAGAAAAACCGTGTAAAAATATGGCTCTACCATCGCTGCTTAGTATTTGGTTTACAGTTCTGAAAAGGTTTTCTAATCCGTTTGACCGGCCCGTATTTTTGGTCAGTTTTTGAACGCATGATGGTAGCTGGGCACTACTTTTAATGGTACTTATTTCATTTAGATAGTTTGATGATCTAAATACATCGTTGTCATGATTGTCAATCCACTTCCAAATGAATCTTGAATCGTATTGATTAGCAAATAACCAACATGACTCGGTAAAATTTCAAGGTTTCAGAAATAAAAAAAAAAAAAAACTTTAGCTGTTATATTTTTTATTTAAAAAACTAGTTGCTTTTTCAAATGATTTTATTAGTTTACAGAGTGCAGAAAAAATTCTGATAATTTTGTTTTTACGCTATAATGGAACAAGTTATTTTCTGTATTACTGTCATCGAATATTTTCAAAGGAACAATTTATTTTCTATATTCTGTTACAGCTATTTTCAAAGCTACAATTTATTTTCTGTATTACTGTCATCTATTATTTTCATAGGTACAATCTATTGTCTGTATTACTGTCATCTATTATTTTCATAGGTACAATCTATTGTCTGCATTACTGTCATAGATTATTTTCAAAGATCTCACAATAAATATGCTAATATATAAAGCAATGAAATTCTTTTCAAGTCTTTAATGTGAGTATTGGTTGGAATTCTGGCTTTAGAACTGGAGGTCTGTAGTTTGAAACTGTTTCTCGCAATACGTACATCATTAGTAAAAAAGGAGGCGTGAACTTCCTGCTTAAATGATATTCCAATCAATAAAGCGCCAGCAACCTAAACAGCCGTAGTGCAGTGGTTAGCGCGCTTGTCTCAGAAGCTAGAGATCCGTGGTTCAAAGCCACCTCTGGGCAAGTTTAGTAACATCGGTAAGGAAGGAGGCGTTAACTTCCTTTCAAAAGCTCTTCCGCGGTACTCAGTGATAAGACCGTAAAGACTTTTCGGGGCACCTAAAATAAAAAAACAAAAAAATAAAAAATTCTTTACGCCACTCATTCTATAATAAGGAAGACATAATGAATAAGTCAACTGTAATTCCTAATTTTAATTTGCATGTGAACAAATAGATGTATTATACATATACATTATGTATATTAATATATATTATATTAATATATACATATACATTATGTATATTAATATTTTTTACAATATGTATACCGTAATTATTTTTAAATTGTGTTGGTTTACTTAAAGTTTTAAATTTAGAATAAAGACTTTTTTGTTGTTCTTTTTGTTGTTTGTTGTATATAAAAAAATAGTTTTAAGTATTTGTATATAAACGATTAGTGTTTTTTTGTTTTTCTTATGTTTAGGTATTTTCGTCTAAAATCAAACATTTAAAAACGAATTTTCTCTAAAGTTTGTAGTCTTTCAGCTGTTTTTTTTTTTCTTTTTCTTTTGATTATTAAAATGTTCCACGTAGATCGCTCTTGTCACAGAGCACCGCGAAAGATCTAACGCTCATGTCACAGAGCACCGTGAAAGAGCATCTGACGCTCTTGTCACAGAGCACGGCGAAAAAGCATTTAACGCTCTTGTCACAGAACACCGCGAAAGAGCATTTAACGAAGAAGTTTACACCGTTTTTCTTGTTGCATGTAGGACAAAAGCAGGCATCAAAATTTTTATTTTTAATTTTAATCAAAAAACTGCATTTAACCGTAATAATTTATAATAGTTTATTTTTCATAAACAAATCTTGAAAAAAATTTAACACCCAAACACAAATATCATTCATAAATATACAATTAAAAAGACTTGTAAATTAAAAAGAAAAATCTGTACAATTTATGTTTAAAGGTTTAAATATGTTGTAAGATTAAAATTTTGAATTAATAAAAAATAAAGTCATTATTAAAGTTTTAAATTACCTTTGCAAGTACTTTTCAACCCCAGTAAAAAAAATTTATACTGAGACGATTCAAATTAATATTTTTGAGTTTTTTCTCTATTTGAGACTCCTGCTTTTGATCTGACACTACCGAGAAGTAGAGTTGTCTGATTGCTTGTAATTTTAACACAATCTACCGCTACCATTTTCTGAGGGTCAATATAAAAATTTTTAAACTTCTTGTGAAAATCCTTGATGTTCAGAATCTTTTTTACATCTTATTCTTCTTAACCTTCAGGATTAACCACAAAATAAAAATTATTTATTTTTATATTTACTAAAATAATTTTAATTTGCATAATTATAATATAGTACAAGCCATACAAATTTACAAAAAAATGGATCCGTCACTGGTGATAACCATTAGGTATTCTTAGAGCACTTTAACCCCCTCCACCTCCTCAAAAAAAAAAAAGATACTAAAAAGTTATGCATAAAATTATCTTGAGGAAAAACAAACTTATAGTAAGTATGTAAAGAAAATAATGACTGGAACTTAAATTATAAAGGAACAAGTCGGTAATTTTTAAAGATTCGCCCCATATTCAATCCATCATTTTATTCGTAGAGTTGTCTCTAGTCACTGCAAACCTAAAACTGTAACAAAATTGGATTGTTTCAAAGCTTTGTCTGCTTTATAAAGCAGAAACACTTTAAACATGATCTGTTTTACAAAATAAATAGTTTTTCTGGTTATAATAGAGATCTTAAATGCAGACTTGCTAAAATCAGGTATAAATCCTGGTAAAGTGCTTATACAGTTATGTCCAAAAAGATTGTGCAGTTATCAACCAATAGAAAAAACTCTTTGTGCTATATAAACATTAAAATCATGTGTAATTTAATTATTAACATCTTGGAGTATTCCCAAAGCAACACTTGTTAAACGTGCACAAGTACAACATTTAATGAAAGACAATAACTCTAAACGCATAACACAAAAGCCAATTAAGAAAAGAGTTAGTAGAGGTTAACCACTGCATTTAATAAAACTAAGAACTTAAGTGAAAAACTAAGTGAAGCGCAACCGAAGAAAAACTAACTACCTTCTAATCTCCAAAAAAAAAATTAACAAGATTTTTTTAACTTTTAGACCAAAAAAAAGTGTTAGGAATTATTTTTAATTAAAATTTTACATTAAGAAAATTAATTTTTTTCATAAAACCGTAACTCTAATTTAAAAAGAATATCACTTACTGCCTCTTCCCATCCTAATTGCCCATCTGATCTTCTAAAATTCTGATCTTCTAAAATTGGCCTACAGTAGTCTTGTTGATATTCACACGGAATATCGCAGCGCCCTTAAAATATTTCTACTTCCAAAACAATCTTCCACAAATTAGATTAATGCCAGAAAAAATGAGCAGCAATGTTTACACGTGCTCCTAAAAAAAGTCAACAAATAAAGTCAATAGTTAAAAAAATCTTAGAAAATAAACGCAAATTTGCATACCCATGTTGGCCAATGATGGGAGATCTACACATCACCAAGAGTACCATTTACTTTTCTTTCCTTTTTTCTTTTTTTATTTAATATTATTCTTCATAACTTATTTGGAAAGAAAATGTCATTAAATTCTAGCAAATTTTTCTGAAAAAAAATTTTTTTTGATCGTGTTTTGAACATTTAGAAGGACGCTCAATAATGACGTTTACAAATAATAAGTCAGCTTTCATGATTTTCAAAACAAAAAAACGCACCGACAAAATTCTTTTATAAAAGAAAGTTCACAGTAACATTCTTTTATAAAGAAACGTTTTTTTGGCGTAAGTTGCACAACTTAAGGTCTGTTGTGCAAAAAAAAATTACGTTGTAAAACAATTGTTGCGGAAATCAATTTCTACAACAATTGTTGAAGTACAAAGTCGCACAACTATTGTACAACGTTTCCCCAACTATTGGACGTCAAACTTTACGGACCATATCGGGATAGCATTGAATATAATTTATGAGTAAATTTCAAGATAGTTTATGCATATGTATATTTTTGTTGTTTTTGTCACAAGATCATTATCGTAAACTAAACCTGGTTGATTTATTTATATGTCTTAAAATGTGGAGCAGCGCAGTGGTGATAAACAGGTGCATTATTATTTTGCCTAATATTGCTTTAGTTATTAATTTTCAAAAAATACTTTTTTAAACATTATTTAATAATCATATATATATATTCTGAAAATAAATTTTCAAGGCTTTTTACAAATAGTATTGAAATACTAATCTCAAGTAAATACCTAAAAAAAAAAATTTATATATATATACAATTAATCTTAGTAATAGTATCAATAATAGTAATAATAGTAATAATAACAATAATAATAAAGTAATTATAATAATTTAAATAAATCCGTATTACTTTCCATACAGCAATCATTTTTACATACAAAGTTACAGTTACAAACAGTAACAAACTGACAAAACGTAACAACTAACGATAACATAAAACGACTACTGCTAAAAAAATTATAAAGATTTAGTAAATATATTAATATAATCATAGTTGTTAAAATATAATGATCAAAATATATTGCAAATGTTATGACCAAATAAATAAATAAAATATAAACAGAAAAACACTCAGAAAATCAAAACAAAACAAGTTACAACAAACATTACGAAACATAACAAAAAACTAAGCAAAATAAACAAAACAAACAACAACAAAAAAAAACTTAAGATTAAAAAAAAATATTAATAATATTACATGGTAGAATTAAACATATATAATAAATGGCTAAAATGAAAATAAAAACAAATAATATATAACTGTATAAAAAATTTATATACCACTAAAAATAAATAATAACTAAAAAACAAACAAATGACTAACAAAAAATAATAAGTAAAACTATATGCACTAAAAAAATGAATAAAAATAAATAAATAATAAAATAAATAATCCTAAAAAATATATGAAAGAAAACTAAAGAAATGTATAAAAAAATAAATAAAAATCTTGATTTGGCGATCGAGGTTTCGCTCTTTAAATAGTTTTTTTTCATGCTTTGCCATTCTTTTTATATATTTCATTCATTGACATTTTTTATTTTAACTTCTATTTTTGTTATTTTTTACTTATTTTCATTCAGATATTTCTTATTTTTTCTTCTTTTAAAAGATTTATTTATTCTTTTTTTTTTTGTTGATTTCATTTTTAGTTTATTTTATAAATGTTTTTTTTTTCCTTTTTCCTTTGTCCTTTTTTCAAAAAAGGAAAAAAGTAGTCTTTTTTCATGAATATATGAAGGAGTTATCGTTAGTCATTTCAGACATTTTTTTTTGTCTATTTAAATATGATTAACATAGTTATATAGAGCTTAAAAAAACTTAAAAAAGGAGGGGTCTTTTAACTGTAGAAGATAATTGGATCCAAAGTTATTGCATTTTTTATGCTGGAATAACTGATAATTTTTTGACAAAATGCCTGGTCCTTAAGTATGGAAAATTTGGCGTGAAATGGCACTGAAATAAAACAAAAAACCATCAGAAATCAAGCGCAAAAATCAAAATAAACGATACGCAAAGGAATAAAAACATTATATACATAATTTCTAAACAAAATTCCTAAGTATCATTTCATCAAGAAAACATAAATAAATACTTGTTTTGTTGGAAAGGCTGTAATTGCCATTTCCACATGGACATGAATTAAACGCTGAGAACTAAAAAAATTTATATGAATGTTAAAAAGAGTCCACATTCCATTAGATTCCTCATCCCTTTTTTAACATATATGGAAAGTTTCATATGAATTAGATGTGTTATGGTGGTTAAGAAATCTTACCTTGAAAAACTACTTTTGAAAAAAAGTGTCCCGCTGCAAGTTTTTTTATCAAAAGTGGTCTTAGGATATTGATAATATTTAAGTGAAAGCATAGTACATTCTATGTATGGCTGGAAAGAGGTTTAGTAACATTAATTGATACAAAAAACCTCAATGTGATTGCTTAACTGTACATAAAGATATAAGAGAGTAAAGCTTATGAAAATTCGTTGTTTTTTGTCAAACGTCAAATGTTTTTTGTAGTGCCATGGAATCGCTACTATCGTACTCTGTTATAAAAGACCTAGTATTATACCATCAAAAAATAATGAATTGATAATAAAGTCTATTTTTATTGTATTATTTTTTGGATTGTTATAATTGACACACTTGCTCCATATTTATGAATGGTAAAATCTTGTTTTAAATCTATGGCTATCTAATTAGGCATGAGACATGAAATTTTTAAACTATTCAAATACTAGATTGTTATAAATCTTTGGAAATAGATTCATTACAGTATTTTAAAGGTCAAAAATTATTAAAATCAAACAGTTCTACACAAAGTTATAGCATTTTAAGTGTCAAGGGTGTTAGAAGGGTGTCTACAATGATTTGTAACTTTTTTTTTTTTTAATTTGATGATATTAGTTACTCTAGGATTTTTTAGTAAACATCTAGATATATTTTTTCATCCCTTTTTTTAATTTTAAAAAGTAGCTAACATGAAATTAAAGTACACCACCGGTGGTGTACCTTGGAGGTATGTATGTTGTACCTTGGAGTACTCAGCAGTACTCAGCATGGTAGAAATTTGATATAATGTTTACTTATAGGATAATTGGACTATTATCTTAAATGAGGCTGATGTGAATCAGACTCATTTGAAATAAAGTTGATTAAGAAAAGAGTAATAATAAATAACTACATTAAAGTTTAGTAATATTAAGTCTTTCCCTTTGATTTAGCATTTATCTTCTCTACATTCAAGTAATCAAAGTTAATGCTAAATGATAGTCTTTTCAGCTGTTGTGCTGAACCTGCTGTAATAGAATGTGGCAACTGAAAGACCATGTCTGATTTGTCCAACTCATACACAGTTTTATCTTCTCTTTGATAGTTTGAGAAAATTATCAAAGAGAAGATAACAATTTGAGAAAAATAATTACAATTAAACAAAGAAATTCACACATTTTATACTAAAGAAATTCTTAACAAACAAAAAAAAATCATTATAAACTATAACAACATATTAGATTAAAAAAATACTTTCATAACAAATATTACTCATAATAATTTTTACAAAATCATGCAAGTGTATGCCTTGGTGGTACCACCAAGGTACACATTAGCTACCTCCAAGGTACACCACTACTATAGTTTTTACAAAGTTGCTACCATATATTTATAGGTTAGAAGTTAAGCAGTTTCAAACATCCATAAATGTAGCTGAAAACATGCTTTACAAATTTTAATAATCAGTTTTTAAAATAAAGTTTATACCTACAGTTGTAGAAAAAGAAGAAAACAATCTAAAAAAGTTTTTCTTTGTAAAGCTAAAAATTGCAACAGCAAATGTGTTAAGCAGTGATAAAACAACTTGTTACGAGCCTTTAATGACCAATACATGCAACTAAAATTTTAGTTTAAATTCATCACTCACGATGGCATCACAATTGATGTGCCTTCAAGCTACACCACTCTCCCCTCTACTATTCAATATTATTTTATATCATAATACACATTTAATCATTATTAATGTTCAAATGTTTATTATGGTACGCCCTCCCTTAACTACCCGTGTGTATAGCGGAACTTAAGTCAAAAATAGGTACCTATTTTGGTTGAGTTAGTAGGGTGTGTGGGGGAGAAAAATTTGGCAGGTAGCAATAAAAAAGGTTTTTGCTGATCTCTGTATATATTTTAAAAAGTCTCAGCATTCCTTCAATACATACCTGATGCACAATAAAGAAGTTTTAAACAATAAATTCATTATAAACAAAATTTTACAAAAAAGATTTCCGTGCAGAATTAAAGTTAAACTATTCTAATACATAAAATAAGTCTATGTTGGTACAAATTGTTGAAAAAAAATAACACAGCAAAACTTGTTGATATAATGCCACTTTTAAAATTACTGAAAAAAGTGTGGCACAAAATTTGGATGAAGAAAAGGTTCCGTTAAGATCAGATTAATTTTGTATAAATAAAAATAAAAAAAATTAGCATAACTTATTTTCAATAATTCTTTATGTTAAATGCGAATTGAAACAGTGTTTCAGAACAGAGGGAATATTTTTTTATTTGAATAATTTTATTTTTTATTATGTTATACAGCTTTTTACATTTAATTGTAATCTTGGTTTAGCAAAAGAACATTTACAAATATTCTTACAGTTAGTATATGACCGGGGCTCTGTCCCCATCTAAAAATAGGACTTTTAACAAACCCAGCCCCAGCTAAAATATAAGATTTAGCAGGAGTTAATAGCCGGGGCTAAAAAAAAATTTATAATTTTTTTAATATTATAATTTTATGCTTACATTTACTATTTATTAAATTCTGGCATATATTTATACATTTTCAAACTCTAATTTACTTCCAACAAGATTGCAAGCAACCACTATTAAGTTATGAGTTACTTTAAAATAGAGAATAGTTAAAAAAATTAGGAAATGGTTAACTGAAGACTTGAAAAGTTGTAGGTTGTATATAAAAGAAAAGTATAAAGATGGCTAATAATTATAAGGCTTTTTTGATGTGCAAGAAAAAAAACTGGATTAATAAAAGTTTTTATAGCATGAAGGGACAGATACAGTAAAAAAATGCAACTTGTTGAATAAGAAACAAGCAAGAATGAGTTTTGGTTTATCATAATAGCGATAAGGCAATAGCTTGTTTGAGCATTGACCATAATTGTATTTGTAGAAAAAAAGTAAGAAATGCAACCTTACAACAACTGAAGAGTGGTTCAAACTTGGCAGATAAAGCAGGTCTAATTTATTATTATTATTTTTTAAATATATTAATTCACCTCCCTGGCTGAAAACGCCACTACAGATGAGGAGGCTACTTAATTGTGGTTATAACCCTCTCTCAACTATATAAACACAAACCTTGACAACCAAGGCCGCTGCACAGAGAAACACATTGAGCGCAGTACTACCAGAGACTTGGTGGGGATCAAACTTGGTACCTCTGGCTTACGACACAAGTGCTCCACCACTACACTACGTCCGCATTACATTTACGATGTGCTTTTAGACTTTGCTTGAGAGTAAGAGGGTTTTTATTCATCAATATAGATATACCAACATTATTGCAATAGTTTTTTGCAGTAAATAAATAAGTTTTGTTGTCTAACAAAAATTGCAGATTTTAAGTCCAGAATTTAAATCCATAAGCCACAGCAAGCCTTAGGCTGTTACAGAAGAGAGATCAGATTAAAAACCAGCTGCTTGTTCTAAGCAGTCAAAGAGTGAAGATTTTTTGTCTAGACAAGAGTATTAAGTTGAGTCATCAACAAATAGAGCCACTTTAGATTTTAAATTTTCATGAAGATTGATATTATAGATAAGAAACAATACAGGAGCAAAGATTTAACCCTTAAAGTTACTTGAAATAAAGAAGAGTATAGGCCTTCAAGAATAATTTTTTTTACTGCAGTTAGTAAGAAATAATTTAATAATCTCAAAACCTTTATATAAAAAAGCTAATAATTTATAATCTGAAAATAATAAACTAAACAGAGTGAAGACTAATCATAGGATAGTTAGAGAGGTCAAAATGTTTTTTAGAGTTTCGAAAAATTGGAACCACTTATTTAACACTTTTTAAAAATCAAATATTATTAAACATTATATAATTAATAAGATTAAATGTTAGACTTACTTTAGTTAATGACTTTGTTGAAGACTAACCAAAAGTCTCTAGAACCTAATGTCTGATAAAAGATACAAGATTTAGTAAACTGAGAATAACAGAGTTTAACATCAGACGGGACCTTTTTACATTGGCTTCTTGGAATAATAAATGGACATTTTTTCTTAAAAAAGATGTTCTTGTAAAAAAGATGAGATAAATGATTAATAAAGCAACTTCTCTAAGGTTCCAGAGGAGTTTGCTACAGTGGAGAAGGCTACTCATTTTTTATTTAGTTATTTTTAGTATTTTTAAATTTTCAATTGGAGTTCTCTCAAGGCTAAACTCTAAAGCACAAACATTGTTAAACAAGGTTTGTGCGTGGAGAAACAGGTTAAACAAGGCTGGTGCATGGTGAAACAGGTTGAGTGTGATACTTCTTGAAGTTTTGAACTATGAACCTATTAATTGTAAGACAAAAGTTCTATTACTATCTACTAATGCATATTCGTAATTAAAATATATGAAGTATTTAAGCAATTGCCTAAAAATATATGTTTTACTCATCAATTGATTGTTTCCTGAACTTTTACATGTAATATAGTTAATTTATTAGTAAAATAAAATGCAGATTTTTGCAAAATAGTTTTTTTTAGTTCCTAACTAGTGATTGCAATCCTGGCATTTTTTATAATCCCCAAATCCTGGGATCAATCCTGAAATTCTCTGTAAGATCTAACTAAACATATTTATATAAATAATAACAAATTATGCGTAGCAATCAAATCAATTTACTATAAAATTTCAGGAAGTAGTTGTATATTTTCGATTTTACTGTAAAAAATTTCTTGATTAAGTTTGATTTTTAGAAAAAATTTTTTAGCAAATCTCAAGATTTTTGTTTAGAGGTTTTGAGAAAATTTTCATTATTTCACCCAATAGTGAAGGTGAAGACAATGTTTGTTTAGTTTAAAATAAGCATCTACCATCTTAAAAGTCACTGTAGTTTCCGATTGAATTATAAAAAAAATAAGATAATGTTTAAAATTCTCTTTTTAAAATTTATTTTCCAAAGATTAGCCAAAGATTAGCAAATTTCAAAAACAATTTGAATTTTGATCTTGCTAGAAATTAAAATATAAAACTATCAATTATATTGTATTTCATTTTTATTCGATATAAAGAATCTTTGTGTAGTGATGGTTTTTATTTTGAATACTTTATTATTTATTCATTTTTTACTGCAAATGTTTTAACAGAAACTTTGCTATTAGTAACATTAATGAGTAAAATATCTTGGAGTTTATTAAATTTGTATATTAATCCTCCAACACATTCTATTTTTTAATGAATTGCCTACAATTATCTACAAAAACACTACATTATAAGAAGTACATTATAAGAATCATCTACAAAAACACTACATTATAAGAACTACATTATAAGAACTACATTATAAGAAAAACACTACATTATAAGAACTACATTATAAGAAAAACACTACATTATAAGAAAAACACTACATTATAAGAAAAACACTACATTATAAGAAGTACATTATAAGAATTATCTACAAAAACACTACATTATAAGAACTACATTATAAGAACTACATTATAAGAAAAACACTACATTATAACAACTACATTATAAGAAAAACACTACATTATAAGAAGTACATTATAAGAAGTACATTATAAGAAGTACATTATAAGAAGTAAAATATAATTGCAAAAAAAGTTGTATAAAACTAATTGCAAAAATGAAAATAGTAATTGTGATTATGATACATTTAATTTGAATCAGAGGATATAAAAAGGAGAAAAGAAAAGTTTCCCCCATTGTAGTGGTTCCTGTTGATATAAGGGAAATAAGTTTTTTGAAAATTTTTAATTTAGTTTAAAAATAGTTTATTTTCTTTATAAAAGAGGTGACTAATTGGTTTAATAATAGTTTATTTTCTTTATAAGAGAGGTGAAGAATAAAGTGACTGGTTTAGATCTGTATGTGTCTGACTATCAGGAAATACCTCATCGAATAAAAACCTCATTTCAATATCATGTTATTGTTATCACCAACTTGTTTTATTACAAAAGAAGTGATTTAAAAGATTCAGATGTTGTTCAGTTTATGGTATGTTGAATTCATATTTGTTTATACTACTTAAAAAATAAATTTCATTATATAAAAATGGTTTTAAAATGCAAGTATTCTTTCAAATTATGAATGTTTATATCATATAGGAACTATTCTAAATTATTATTTTTTTTAGTTTACTTTTAATTTTGTTCAATTGGCGCTTAATTTTAGTAAAAAATTTAGGTAAAGTTTTACAAAAAAATTTTATGTTAGTATAAAAGAAGTCACTGCATAAATGTCAGTTTTAATAAAAAAACATTGAAGCATTGCACAGTGATCAGGAATAACTTAAAATTAGGCCAAAATTAATTTTTTTGAAAATATTCAAAATTGAAGAAAATTCGCTCTATGATGTAAAAAAGGTAAACAACGAAAGAAGACTATAAATCTCTAAAAAAGGGTTAAATATGGTCGGGGAGGTGGAATTATATTTTTTTAGTAAAAAAAATGTAATCAAAAAGTAATTCATTTTTATCAATCTAAATTCTGTCCTCAATAACTATATAAAGTTGATGTTTAGTAAATTTGACATTTATTTTATACCTAAGTGAAAGAAAAATGATATTAACTTAACTCGGCAATAATTTGCCAATCTCAATATTTTATAGGTTGGCAAAAAGAATTTGATACAAAGGTCTCACCATAAAACATAGAAATGAGGTTGTCAATTTTTTGCCGACCTCAAACACTTTTAGGTAAGCAGTTAGGTTGGCATTATTGAATGCTGACCCTAATTTCGAGGGTTAATATATATATATATATATATATATATATATATATATATATATATATATATATATATATATATATATATATATATATATATATTAAGGACCGGCGTAGTCGACTTTTTAAGATTTGAATTTAAATAAAAGGTGAATTAAGATCATGCAAGCGAATTTGAACTTCTAACTGAAAGTGGAATATGGATTTAAAAAAAACATTTAATTAAAAGAGAATTTTTTTCAGAATTTTTTATAAATTTAATAAAAAACTTTTTTTTGTTTTTTTTTATTTTTTGCTTTAGGTGTTCTACAAAGACCTAAAGGTTTTTTTACGGAGTGCATCAGAAAATTTTTTAATTAGGAAGTTCAAACTTCCTTCCTTACCGATGGTGCAAAATACGCCCAAAACTTGCTTTGAATCCTAGGTTTTTTGCTTCTAAATTAAGCACTCTAACCACTACGCCGTGGTAGCTATAAACTAAAATTATTATATTTTAGATTGTAATTAACCATAATTCGAAATAAAGAACATGTGAAGCAAAATAATTTTTAATTCATTAAAAAAAATTACACGCATGCAAAAAAACAGTTTGTACCGAAATAAAATAATCTAAAAGTTCAGTAATAATGAGAACTTAATTTAATTTGAAAGCAATAAATAAGAATTAATAAGGGATGAATAGATTTGCTGCTTAAAAAAATCTTTTTGAATATTGACTAAAATTTATTTCTAACATATTTTTTCTTTCATCTTTTTTTTACTGAATTCATGTTCCAAAGGCCACTTTAGTCAAGAAGCTAATTCTTATACTGGTTACAACCCTCTCTCAACTCTTTAGCTCCAAAGCACTTTTCAACCTTGGCAAACAAGGCGTATACATCAATCTGTTTCTGCTGCGCGCAGAAACAGGTTGATACATAAATGTATTATATTTTATATCTCTTCTTCTTTATAAACTGAAAAAAAATTTATAGCTTTCGAATTTAACTGAAGTTAAAAGGAATTTTGAAATTGTTACTGAATTTAACTAAAAGCCAAATTTCTATTTCAACTTCGGCACCGAAGTCAAAGCGGAAGTCAACTTTCACTTTCAGTAAATTTTGTAATCCGAATTTTAACGAATATTCGCATATATATATATATATATATATATATATATATATATATATATATATATATATACAAATAGTATTGTGTACTAAGGTAAGCAATCTGACGTCATACTGAAATAGCCTGCTGCTGGGGGCTTCAGTACATACATCGACTGACAAATAGCCTGACTCACAGTGGAGTGCTGCTACATTGACTGAGGGTTTGGTATAGGACAGCAATCGTTTCATTCATCATTCTTCGTTTTTTTTTCTTTTTTTTCTTTCTAAAAAAGCTGTATGGATTAAGTTAAGCAAAAAAAAGTGAGCAAATGCTTATAAAAATACTCTTTAGTAAGTGTATACCAGGCTTTCACAGGAAGACGTGCATTTTCACGTCTTTATATGACCACGCAAGTTACATTTTACTATGATGGTATGACCCCGACTAATTCAAAAAACATTTTAGAAACACGCTAAATAAAAAATATTCTAAAAAAGTGAAATTAATTACATCAAAACTTCTTAACAAATGTTTTTATATTAGCGAAACGATTTTAAATAAAGTAACAATTTACTGAAAAAAAGTTTTATTTTTTAAATATAATTGACAGTTGTATATATTTTTTTAATTTAAAACATATAAATTGTTTAAATGTTCATTTCTAAAATAAATCTTATTAAAAATAAAAAAATTTTTTGTTTTTATAAATGATGACATTCTACGACTACGAAAGTCTCTTTAACAAATTTAAATATAAGAATGATTAAAGTTTTTTATTTAAAAAGATAAACAAAATTTCGTTAAAAAAAAAGTTTTAAAATACCGTTACAATTTAATAAGTTTGATCTTAAATGCTTTTATATTATCAAAACGCTTTTAATGTAGTAAAAAAAAAAACACCTCTAATTAGTTAAAAAAAAAGTATTTATAAAATATTTTTTTATTTTATTTATATAACTATGTATTTTTTATGAGAAATATTTAACCTTTGAACATATTTAACAAATAAAAAGTATATAAAAATGTTGAAACAAAGATTGAAAAGATTTTTTAATGCGTAAATTAAATAGGCTAAGCATTTTAGTTTGATGAGTTTTGTTTTAGTTGCGTTATATATATGTATTTATTTTTTTGTGTTTTTGCTTTAACTAAGTATTTTTTTATTTATTTTCTCTTTCGTTAATATTTATTTATTTTTTTAAATTTTTTTGCAGATAAGTTTAGGTAAGTTTTTGTAGCGCGTTTTTAAATTTTAAAAATATGCCGTGGTCAAATCGTTAAAACATTTTTTTTTTTTGTTTCGTGGTCATATAAAGACATGAAATCGCACGTCTTCCTGTGAAAGCCTATATATATATATATATATATATATATATATATATATATATATATATATATATATATATATATATATATATATATATATATATATATATATATATATATATATATATATATATATATATATATATATATATATATATATATATATATATATACAGGGCTTAATTTAATTTTTTATAAGGTCCCGGACAAAATGTCCGACCAAAAGTTATTTTGGTCGGACATTGTTCGATCAAATTTTTGAAATAAAATTTAAACAAATAATTTTCACCAATATTTACATATATTCATATTTGTTTTGTTAAAAGGAACTCAGGAAAAAGATAGTTCTTTAAATGCCGAGAGTGAAAAAGTACTGCAGATGGGTTTTTTTAGACTAGCTTCTGGCGTATCTGAGTTTTACGGAACCCAATTATCCAATCAAAATATATGTTATGTTTTTCCAGTTTATTTTATTTTAGGCTAATGAAGTTATAGTTTTTTTTTTTAATATTCAGAATTTTTATCATCGTAGATTTTTGTATTTTAAATGAAATAGTTTAAATTCAATACTGCGCATTTTTTTAGATAGACTTGAAGTTTTATTGAGTTTTTTTCTCTCGAAAACCTTGTTAGTTTACATTGAATTGCATTACCGGTTTATAAAAGTTATGTAAATTTTTTTACTTAAAAAAATATAATATGCTAAGTGTCAATTTTGCGCATAAGCTCCACTTTTAGCGTCAAAAAGGTATTTATATGGCGTTCATGTAACTATTTTTATCAATAATAAAAATGGCAAGAAAACAAGTTTTTTATAGTAATATAGTATAATAATGTCTTTAATATATTAAATATTAAAATAAACATATTGTTTTTAAACTTGATATAAAAAATTTAAACTTCGCTTTTACTTATTTAAAGGCGGTTAAATCAAACGCAATATAATATTTACGGGCTATTATTTAATTTAAAAATTCCACGCGCTGCATGTCATTAAAATTAGATCAATTCAACAAAGAAAATTTTATGAGTTCTACAGGTTATTATTTATCTCCTTTTCAAAAAGGCACTCCTTCTTTGACAGATAAATTTTATAAAGCTAGAACTTTTTAATCTTTTATATATATATATATATATATATATATATATATATATATATATATATATATATATATATATATATATATATATATATATATATATATATATATATATATATATATATATATATATATATATATATATATATATATATATATATAAAATAAATAATAAGAAAAAAAATACAAATAAAGATATAGTTTAAAAAACGAATAATAAATAAAGAATCAGAAAACTCGAGTAGGACCAGGATGCCACCGAGAAACCGCTCAAGCTAAAATAGAATGATTTGGATGATTATAATGTTAATATTTAAATGTATATTTTCTTAATGTTTTTTTTAAAAATATTCCATCGATGAGATCTCAGCCTCTAAAAAAGCACATTTGTAAAATCTTTTATTATCAAATTTTTCAAACTGCTAGCTTTTCTTTGCTTTTCGGTGTCCACAGCGTTTGCAGTAATCAATCAAACATACTTTGACTTTTGCGATCGTTTTTTTTCGCTTTTTCAAACTTCCTTATATTGGTCGAATATCTGAGCTAACGAAACGAAGATTACACGCAATTATAAAGAGACATTGTAAGTCGGTTACCATAAAATTAGTATTCACTTCGTTAAAAGTGTCTAACTTTTTTTCATCTAAAGATCACCTTCCTGTAGATTTTAAATCATTCGTTGTCTACAAATTTGTTTGTGCAGAATGTAAATCCTGTTATATTGGCGAAACCTCTAGCCACTTAAAGACGCAAGTGATTGAACACTACAGAAGGGATAAAAACTCTCTTATTTATAAACATCTTCACTCAAAAGAAAAATGTTTTAAAAATTTAAAAGTTATAATGATGAATGCTTTTCCATTTTTGGTCGTGCTAAAAACAAAATTGAATTAAAGATTAAAGAAAGCATTCATTTAGGATGGGAAAAACCCGATATGAATAAACAAGTAAATGACTCTTATGATTTAAAATGATTTACCGGTTTCTTTTGTTATATTTGACATTTGTTAAAATAATTTTAATAAATCTTTTTGTATATATAGGAAGTTTGTTTACAATTTTATGGCTTTTATTATGTTTATTTTGACAATTATATATTATATTTTATATCGTTTTTAACAAATATATTTTAACTGATGATGACTATATATAGTCGAAACATTTATTGAATAATAAAATGTTTTTAAATAAAATTAAAAAATTTGTCTTATTTTTAAACGTAATATCACATTTTGTGCTGAAAAGAAGTTTTGGTAATATATACATATATATATATATATATATATATATATATATATATATATATATATATATATATATATATATATATATATATATATATATATATATATATATATATATATACATATATATATATACATATATATATATATATATACATATATATATATATATATATATATATATATATATATATATATATATATATATATATATACATACATACATATATTATTCTTTTCCTTTTATTCATAGGTATCAAAAACATTTGAAGAGTTTGAAGTTTTATATCATCAACTTTATAAGCGTTTTCCAAGTGTAATTTTTCCAGAGCTTCCAAAAAAATCTTTGTTTTCAAACGATACTGCTGCTAGATTTGAATGCATGAATAAGGTTTTACGAATGGTTGCTGCAACACAAAAATTATGTTGTAGTCCAATGGTAATAGCTTTTTTAAAGGAAACTGACACAAAAGAAAATCCATCATCTTTGCAATCTATTTCTTCTAAAGTTTCACCAGTAGTTTCAAATAATGATTCCAATAAAGAGGTTTTTTTTTTATGTCATTTAATGAAGACAAAACTAAAAAAAAAAGTTATTTAAAGTATATATTTTTATCTCTTTTGTTTCGGAAAAAAATGCCACTATATTTTTATTTATGAAAATTTATTTTTAAAAATTTTGTTTTATGTTTGATTAAATATACTTATTATGTGACTATATACAATTAGGAGGATATATCTACTGTTTTTAATCAAGACTTGATGGAAGAAGTTGACTTATTTTCAGCTCAAAATGAACCAATTAACGACAAGGAAGAAAACATTTCTGCACTTCATAGCACACAAGTGTGCGATGTAATTCTAGAAAAGAAAGATGTTAGAGATGATTCTTCTCAATCTAAAGAATTTCAAGATCATGAAGATATTATAACGTAAGTAGAAAAAATCTGCATTAATATGCAATGAAAATATTTTATTATGGATATGTGAAGAATTTATAGGAGTTAAAGAAATTATTTAAATGTAATAATATGATAATATAAATGTAATATTTATATAATAAACATATTTTTATTTATTTTCATTTTTTAAACTAAAAAAAAATAACTTTTTTGTGTTGCTTTTAAAAAATTGTCTTTTTTTTTTTTTTTAGTTTTTTTAATAATTTTTTAGTGCTAATGAAGATGAAGATGACTTACTTAAGATGCTAGGGAATGCTTCAATAAAACAGCCTAATATTTTGAATCTTAATTCTCAAGTTAATAGCAGTGTTTTAAGAACTCGTGTAAGTTCTAATGTTGACGAATCAGATTTAGATTTTTTTAAAAAAACAAAAACTTTACCAATGAGGTGAGAATTAAATAATTTTTTCTGATTGTTTTGTTAAATTGATTTCTATTTTTTACTTACAGTATCAGGAGCAGAGTTGTTAACAAGGCCAAAAGTATCAAAACCAAGGCCAAGGCCACACGTTACAAGGTCAAGGCTAAAAGTTTTTAGGCCAAGGGCAAGGCCACGCGTTACAAGGTCAAGGCCAAGGCCTACGCAAAAATTTTTAAGACCAAAGACTTCAACTTTTGCCTTCGGTTAAGGCCAATTATTTACACAACTGTAAGTAGCAAGTGCTGTGACAATAAAACCACATTTTGTAAAAATAAACCAAGGTTCTGGGCAGAATTCAATGAAATCAATAAGAAAACATGTATTTTTTTTAAGGCTAAAGCCAAAATTTTCAAGGCCAAGACCAAGGCCTAGGCCAACAGGTTCAAGACCTCAATTTTGGCCTTAAGGCAAGGTCAAGGCCAAGGACTAACAACTTTGATCAGGAGTACTAGTAGTTTTTGTCAAATGTATAAATTTGAATTACATCATAATTTATATTTTAACATATTTTTGCAATTGTATTTTGAAAAAAAAAAAGAGTTTAAAAGAAATTTGTTTGGTTCTAAAAATACAATATTTTTATCAATCTAACAATTGATAAAAATATTGTATTTTTTGTCAAATATTATCTTATACATTCTTTGTTTTTTTTTATTTTATTTATTTTTTAATTTCAACTTTTTTAACCCTTTGAAAGTAGAATATGTTTTATTTCTAAACAGTTTTAAAGAGGTTTTTAAAATTTTTTTTTTTTGAAGAAATTTTCATTAAAACAATTCTTCATTAACGTTCAATATTTCATTTTTATTTAAAGAAGTATAAACATTTTTTAAAAAAGAGAACTGATGATAAAATTATTAAAAATAAAAGTTTTTTTTTTTTGTTTTTTTTTAAAACATCTTTGCTTCCAACATGACTGCAAGCAACCACTAATTAGTGTTGGAAGTTACTGGAAGAGAAAAGATGAAGGTTGTAGAGCAAAATAACGATTGACAGATGACTTAAAAGATTGCAAATTATATGAATCAGAAAAGCAAGATAAAGGAAGAAAAATTCTAAAGAACTGATGTTCGAGGAAAAATACTAGACGAATAAGAGTTTTTGGAGCACTTAGGAACAGAACAAAAAAAGGATAAGACTTAATTGAATGACAAGTAACACGAAAGTGAATTTTAGTAGATGGCACAAGAGACACTAGCTCTTTAGAGCAGTGCCCATTATAGTATTTGTAGAAAAGAGAAAGAGAAGCAACATTACGACGATGTGACAAAGGTTGGAGATTGGCTGCCAGAGCAGGTCCAACTATGTTTACAATTCGTTTTTGCACCTTGTCTAAAAGAGAAAGAGCATCATTAGAAGATCCGCCCCAGATATGGCAACAGTATTCCATGAGATTTATAGAGATAGAGAATAGAATCTAGATTAAGAAAGTGTCGAGCTCAATAAAGAGATGCAACTTTAGCAGATGTTAATTTTGCAACGGATTTGATATATGGTTTTCAAGAAAGACCAGAAGTAAGAATTAATCCTAGAAGATAAAGGGTAAATGACTCATCGAGTACATTACCATTCATAAATATAGAAAGATCTAAATTATTACGATAACGATTGACTGAAAAAAATTGAGTTTTATCTGAATTAAAGTTCACCAGCCACTGTGAGCCCCATGCTGTAGCAGAAGTGAGATCATTTTCAAGCTCAAATGCCCCCTCCAAGCAATCATAGAGAGTTGGCTTCTTATCATGACAAGAATAAATGGTAGTATCATCAGCAAACAATGCCACCTTAGATGTGAGAATATCTGGAAGATCGTTAATGTAAATTAAAAAAAGTATAGTGCCAAGGATTGAACCTTAAGGAACACCTGAGGTTACAGAATAAGAAGAAAAGTGCTGTCTATCAAGGACAACTTTTATACTTTTGCTGTCTATCAAGGACAACTTTTTTGTTACTTTATTCATTTTTAAGTTTGTTAAAGAGCTTGACTCGAAACATAGATAGTACTCAGTACAATGTTTAATAGTCCAAGCGATTGCCTCATTACTATTAATAAACCCTAAGGTGTAACAAAGGGCTCCAATGTGACCTTGGCAATGCACACCAAAAATACAAACAGGGACACCATCGATGCGCAAGATGACACTGTTAGTACTTTGATATTTTTCAACTGTTGATGGAATCAGCCTCTCTGGAAGCTACCATAGAGTTTGGAAAACCTGACAACCAGCCGGCCTCAGAACCAAAAAACTGAATTTTAGAGCTGTACCCTCATTAGGATATAATAGAATGAGTTGCCTAGTCATAAAAGCAGAGACACAAGCAAAACCCATGCATTGAGTCAAGAAGATCCAGCATTCAACATCCTAAACTGGAAACAATGTATTAAAAATACATATGCGTCAGCCTAATAGATGAAAAAGGGGTGCGAGGCTGGTCAACAGATAGAATCTGTTTACCCCTTGAGTCTTTGCCTAAGAGGCCTTCTACAAGACAGCAGCGGGATGCATTTAACATCTGCCCAAGATAAGTATTTTTATCGAGACACTATCTCTAGCCTTTACTCAACCAAGAGCCCCAAGGCAGTAAACATAGCTTTTAAAACAACATAATTAGTTTTTTATCATTCTGTGACTTTAATAGTGCTTAAGTTACAAAAAAATTATTAAAAAAAAGTAACTACTTAATACAGTTTTATTTTTAACTTTTATTTATTAAAGGGTTGTTTAAAAACAGCCACTTCTATACTTATATATTGTAACTTTTTTGGTAGATTAAATCTAGGTGATAACATGTGATAACAAACCCAGTAACTCAACATCAAATTTGTTCTGATACCTCACAAAAAATTCTGGAATCTTCCAGAATTATCCATTTTCTAGAACCTTTTGGAAACTTGTGAAAATTTATATAAATTGTAAATTTATATAATAATAATAATAATAATAATAATAATAATAATATAATAATAAGGTTTAACCGTAAAAACTGGTGTAAACAGTCATGAAATGCAATAGCAGTAGATATTGCAATGTAACAGCTCAGTTAGATTTTTCTTTTTGTTTTAACAAATAGTTTCTGCAAAATTTAGATTTGTCAAGTCTGTTTTTGAAATTATTTATTGAATCAGCTTCTATTATTTCAGACAGTAAGTTGTTTCATGCATTTACAACCTGATTTTGGAAAAAGTGATATCTGAAGTTATTTCTGCAAAAAGGTTTTTTCAGTTTGAATTTATGTTGTCTAAATATGGACCTTCTTTTGATGTATGTTGAAAATGGTCTATAACCCAATTTTTTTTTTATCATGGCCATGTTAAATTTTGTAATGTTGGATAAGTTCTCCATGTAGTCTACATTCTTCTAGTGTTGTATAATGGTCTACAACCCAATTTATTTTATCATGACCATGTTGAATTTTGTAATTTATTGAATAAGATCACCATGTAATCTACATTCTTTTAGCATTGTTAATTGCATAACGTTTAACCTATCTTCATAAGATAGATTTTTAACCTATCTTCATAAGATAGATTTTTAACCTATCTTCATAAGATAGATTTTTAACCTATCTTCATAAGATAGATTTTTAACCTATCTTCATAAGATAGATTTTTAACCTATCTTCATAAGATAGATTTTTAACCTATCTTCATAAGATAGATTTTTAACCTATCTTCATAAGATAGATTTTTAACCTATCTTCATAAGATAGATTTTTAACCTATCTTCATAAGATAGATTTTTAACCTATCTTCATAAGATAGATTTTTAACCTATCTTCATAAGATAGATTTTTAACCTATCTTCATAAGATAGATTTTTAACCTATCTTCATAAGATAGATTTTTAACCTATCTTCATAAGATAGATTTTTAACCTATCTTCATAAGATAGATTTTTAACCTATCTTCATAAGATAGATTTTTAACCTATCTTCATAAGATAGATTTTTAACCTATCTTCATAAGATAGATTTTTAACCTATCTTCATAAGATAGATTTTTAACCTATCTTCATAAGATAGATTTTTAACCTATCTTCATAAGATAGATTTTTAACCTATCTTCATAAGATAGATTTTTAACCTATCTTCATAAGATAGATTTTTAACCTATCTTCATAAGATAGATTTTTAACCTATCTTCATAAGATAGATTTTTAACCTATCTTTATAAGATAGATTTTTAACCTATCTTCATAAGATAGATTTTTAACCTATCTTCATAAGATAGATTTTTAACCTATCTTTATAAGATAGATTTTTAACCTATCTTCATAAGATAGATTTTTAACCTATCTTCATAAGATAGATTTTTAACCTATCTTCATAAGATAGATTTTTAACCTATCTTCATAAGATAGATTTTTAACCTATCTTCATAAGATAGATTTTTAACCTATCTTCATAAGATAGATTTTTAACCTATCTTCATAAGATAGATTTTTAACCTATCTTCATAAGATAGATTTTTAACCTATCTTCATAAGATAGATTTTTAACCTATCTTCATAAGATAGATTTTTAACCTATCTTCATAAGATAGATTTTTAACCTATCTTCATAAGATAGATTTTTAACTATAGGTGCTCTTCTTTAGATCTTTTCAATTCTTTTCAATATGATTTGCACAATATCATGTTTATAAAATATAAAATTATTATAATAAATTTTTTGTTTTGTGTGGCTTTCCAATTTTCTTTATTTTTCAAAGCAGATAAGTAAAACAGTAAAAAAAAACAGTGAAAATAAAAATTGAAATAAATAAACAAGATCAATTAAAAAAGATGATGTGGCTTTTCTGTGACTAATGCTGTTGAAGCAATATAAATTGGTTGCTGTTGTTTTGCACCTTTAGATAACTTATTACTTGATCAACTATGATCAAACGTGATCAACTAGGGATAGAAACAGAAAGATTACTTAGTTTCCAGAAAAAAAATCATTCAACAGGAAGAGTTGACAATGAA